GATTTAGCTTATGACAACAATTTCTCATCAAACATTGAAGATTTTTGTAATGGCTATAACTTATAAAACGTTAATTAATGTTCACCAAACACAATATGCTTTCATAACTCCCAGAGGTTCATTACAGTTTATTATGATGCAAAGAAGATTGAATGTTCCGGTTACAGACGACGTGCTGTGTTTAATAAAGCAAAACATTGTCTTCCGTCTGATATGACTGCTTATAATCAACGCCTAATACACTCTGTATTGTTAGGAACGGTGTTTTTGTTAAAACCAATAAATGGTATATATACTTAGCAATATAAAGTAGAAAAGCATTAGAAAACTTCTCATATACCTACAAAATATTTCTAATCTTTTCCATGATGGAACATTTTATTATTATAGGTTATTAGGTTATTATAGGTTATTATGAACTTTGTCAGTAAAACATTGTTCGAAAACATATTACGAGAAATATCAATTTACATGGTTTGGAATTCAAAGCTTTGCTTACGTAAACTGAAGGGTAAACAATCATAAAAATATTCAATATACGTGACGATTACATTAAACATAGGCCTAATTCATAACCGGCTCGGAGACTACGTAAAATGTGCTGTGAACACGAGCACAGACGAGGTTTTCAAAGATTAAAGAAATATTTTATGCGCATAACAGATTGATTTTTCTACTGAGTTTTCGCTCAAATAATGTTTATACTACTTAATAACTTGAACATATAGAGGGCAAATCTAGCGTCTTCAAAACAATTCCATAACTTAACCACTAGACTGGGTTAAAAGCAATATCAGTAAATTCAAAACTAATTGATAGCCTCAAACCAAATATTGGTATTAGATTTGAGCTAAATTGTCAATTCAAGATTAAACTTTGGATAAACTTTGTTGAATTTGAGGTATATTTTTCTGCAATCAAAACTCCTGCTATTTCGGCAATAGAGGTATACCTTTTGACATTAATTTTTCGAATGTTAACACCTTATTTCCCTTGAGTTTACATTGTGTTTGGTCTAGAAAATGTCACACGCAAAATGTTTTTACTCTCACGTGGTGAATTGTATTCAACATTTTATCAAAAAAGTTTCCAATAGTGTTCAATCATTAAGAATTTAGTCGTTAATAGTTTAATAAAATATAATACTACATACAATGTGTTTTTACTTTCACGTGGTGAACATTGTTAATTATTTTATCAAATAAAGTTTCCTTTACTCAAGATTTTCAACGAAATAAAATTGTTACAACATTAAGAATTTAGTCGTTAACAGTTTGATTCGTAAAATATAATACTACATACAATGTTCATTTACATGTGGATGCATCTACTAACGTAGATACAGTAATTGAAAACGAATATTTTCATTAGTTTTATTTATTTTCAACCATTAACCATAATATCAGATGTCTGCCACTCAATACAAATACAACGGAATCTCTCAAAACAATATTCTTTTGTGTATTACATATTTTTGGGACGATCAAAGTGTTAGTTTGTAGCTCTAAATTAATCTTGAGTCAATGAGTGTTCAAATTACCGAAAACGCATTAAATATAAATAAAGAAATCGTAGAAATGGTTGAACGAATAATTATATCAGTATTGTTTTATGATTGGGAACGAGAATAACAATAAAAATTAATTTTGAAAAAGATGAAAAAGAATATAAACCTTAAGGCATCAATAAAACTAAATGATCAATACTTTTTTGTCGTGGAAGCAAAATACAAATAAACTGAAGCTCGGTAATTAAAGATTACTTCATTTTGTTCACAAAGAAATAGCTTTGGTGTTCAAAGAACATTATAATTTAACCTGTGAACAAGTAAGCGGTTTATTGAAACTCAATACATGTTCAGGACATATTTCAAAGTTATCGTGTGGAAGGTTCAGCAGTCTGTCGTGCATTTACATATCTGTTACAGCTGAGCGGTCCATGAGATAAGCGTGGGATGGCGTTATTTTGCTAACTTTGGCAGGTAAAATTGGGTGAGTTTAAACAAAATTAATATTTCCTAGCAGTATTTTATGTGTTTATACAATTTATTTAGTAGAATCGTTAGGATAGCTTATGTGATCGAACATTTCAAGCTGATGCACTAGTATTAAGAGTGGTATTTAAATACTTATTTATAGGTGGGTTTCACAATCTTGGGTTTGAATGTGCGGCTTTGGAGTCGTTTAATAAAAGTACAAAATGATATGGAAGATTATATGTCACAAACAAATCGTTAACATGTTAACATCGCTTGGGGAAGTGGAATTTTTTACACGAGCCCCAAGTGTATGAGAAAATGTTCGAAGGCAAAAAGGAACTTTTATCCCGCTTGATAAACTATATTTTTATTAATCACAGTTGAAAACACAAATTATCTCCTTTCATGTAAAAGCTACACCCGAAATAACTTTCAACTTGTTTTAAATTTGGATATTATAAATAAACAGTTTTGTGCAAATTAATTTTTACAAGGCACGCAGGGGAGTACACTTTGTTTACATGTGGACTGACCACAAAAGTGAACTAGGTGAAACAATTTGCAACTGAAGGCCCCAAGGAGACTGGCAAATAAACCTACTGAATTTTACGAAACGGTTTTGTCTGTTGCAACAAAATCGCTTCCATCACAGCCAAGTACAGATTTGTAAAAAATTGAACCTAAACTCAACGCACAACTAAGTAGAATATAATTGTAAAATATACTTAAATAGATATAATGTTATTAAAGCATCTCACTAAGTTTTAGCTTGTGAAAGTTAAGCTTTATTAAAATACTAATTTTGGATGGAAGTGCATTTGTGGTACTTAAACATATTGTAACTATAGACTACATCGTATGTTTTACCATTGACCTTGGATACTTAAACACACATCTGTGGTAACCACATGTGGCTCGAACCTTACGTTATTAAATTATAGTAAAATGAGCAGAAAATGAAATGAGTTTTTCGTAGAGAGTATTAAAACCGAAACTATTTATTATTATTGTGTGTTTTGTACTACGATTGTCAGTGAAGGAATACAAGATTTTATAGCTTATATTAAGTTTACTAAATATCGTATTTATTGAATCTTTCGTGAAATACGGTGTTTCCAAATATAAATTTATCAATATACTAACATATATCAACATTAACTTATAATTTAACGTAAAATTAAGCACATTTTTTTATGTTTGTGCTTGTTTTTGTATGTGTTTATTTGATTTAATTATTTGTTCCTGGTTTATGTAACCAAATTTTTTCTTAAACATTTTTACTTTTCTTTTATTCATTTTCTTATGAGACTAAATCTTAAATTGGGATGGAAGTAAATCATTATTTCGGATTCATTGCTCAAAAATATCATCGAAAGATCAGAAGAGATAAAATGTAACAACTACTAAAATTATAGGACAGGAGTTAAGTAAATACAACTAATGAAATGATACAACGTTTTCATGGAGGCTATCTATGCTTTAGCCAACCAAATGTCAATATTGTTAAGACAACACTAACGAAATGAAGTTAATTTGAAAGGCTGGCAAACAAGAAGTCGATTTACGCAAAATAAACAAAAAGAGATGATACTGTATTCTCAGTCAATTTGTCCCAGAGTTTATTTAACAAATTGCTTTCATTCTTTCAGTTTATGTTATTTTACACAATCCCAAATGGGATATTGTTTAAAAATAAACATATAACTTATAATTGGACATTTGGATGGTTTATATGTAACTTAGATCATATTAAAAACCAAAATGTGAATGCAAAAATGTATCTAAAACATAGATTTTATATACTAATTAATAATATAAACAACATTTTTAATATATTTATAGACTTTTGCTGCAAGAACCCAAACATATTTAATATTTTTGAATTTAATACAAGTCAATGGAAGGAAATTGCATTGAACATGACATTGTATTTTAACGCAATCGATATTACCGTTTGTCAAATGTTAACGACAAATAATCGCATGTGTTGGTATCTTCTGTTTTATTTTCTTCATTACCGAAAAAAGCACATATGTTGGTATCTCTGTTTTCTTTACTTCATTGCCAATCAGCTGTTATGCATTGTTTTACAGTTATCTATGACGTTTAGTCTTATTGGGAGTTCTTTGTAAAGAAGATTTTACTTTGGTGTTTTTGCAAGCTCAAATAGAGTATACATCTATTTTACACATGTATATTATCGAAGCTGTTTTATCTACAGATCCTGTTTCTTTGAATGTTGGACAGTCTATGGATATAGTACATATATGTACTGGAATTCACATGGAAACTAAATTTCAAACATTTCTTGGCATATAACCAATGATTTAATTTTAATGTGTTTTTCTGTTTTGTGGTGAAAGGTTGTGTCACGGCACTTGTAATTTGGGTTTTGTCAAAAACAGCCTGAATATAAGACCGTATAAAATAAATTGACTACATTTTTGGTATCCTAACAAACGATTTCCCGTCAGAATAGGTTCGTGGTTCAATATAAGTTTCCTCATCCTTGCATACAACTTTGCGGAATGTATGAATAACACTGTATTGAATATTAATCCGTCTTCAGTGTTGCTTTTCCTTCAATTAATTTAGTCTTATTTACAAGGCAGAGTTTAATAAACATACATATTTATCAGAGATAATGTAATTTAGGCCACTTGAATGCACATCATTGTTATTTTGGTTATGAGTTGTTACATTTTTCTATTAAATGCTCCAATATATTATGACTTATATTTGTATATAGTTCTTGGTTATTATATCGAACCGATTGATGACTGTGCAGTTTAAGATTAGCGTCTTATCAACGTGTGGGATCTCATTCAATAAATCATGAAGTACTTAAATAAATGTTGCAAGAAAGCTGGAGCATTAAAGATACCAATGAATCATCATTGAATGTTAAGATAAGCGTCAAACTGCACTTAAGGTCACTTAAATTCATTTTAATTATAATTTATATTATTTGAATATGCTTAGTGAACTATTCACACCAACATTTTTCAATATTTCACATTAGATGTGTTACATTTTTGTTCACTGCTATGGCAGAGTATGTGGCGGTGGCCTCATTATTTCACAGTTTAATTTCTTACGTCACAACAGATGGTTGGCTTATGGAAGTGTAAAACGGTTTTTATGAATCGTTCGTTCATTTTCAACTGTACATGGATAGAAGAGACATCTACAGTAGAAAGTAAGTAAAACTGTTTTACTATTCATTGTTTTATACTTTAAATTGAAAATTACTTTTTAGAATTAGGAGTTAAATAATTATTACTATAGACTGATGCTTTTTTATATGGTGCTCCAAAATTGTTAAAATTGGGTTTCAATTGATTTCAAAATGTGAATAGCTCAAACCACTACTAACACTTATCTACACAATAAAACGTACCCGGTGGTTTTCTACCACCATTCTTAGTAAACTGAAGTCGAGCTAAGAAGTAAAACATACTGTATTCAGAATACTATGTATTGTGTATGGTGTATTATGTACCTGTATTATGTATGTTGAGAGTATATTCTTACATTTCCCTTAACGAAAATCAATTTAAGGTTAGGTATTGACAAATTTGATCACTTTGTAAGCCAACACACATATACGTTATTTTATATGCAAGTATCAGGGGATTTAAGTACAGTAATTATTATGATGTTTCGTAATGAAAAAAAAAACGTTTACCTTTTTGTTAGTTAACTTAAAATTTGTTGACTTACAAAACTGTTTGTAAGAAACCAATTTTTGTGATAGAATGGGTAGAATGTGATAGAATGGATTTTTGTTAGTGTGCGGTGTTATAAATAATAAATGGGCTTGAATGAGGATCAGCTGGTCTGTAGCTAGGAGGAGCTGGTGTGTTCTAGCAAACAGGGTCTACATTGCGGTTTTCTTTCTTGAGGTTCCACTTGAAACGACGCTGATGAGGGGTCTTAAAATATTCTTGATTCCAACGGCAGCATAGGCTTTGGGTGATGTTTTGAGGTAAATTATCAATAAGAGGTGAGATCTTTGTTGGGTCAGGAATAGTTGTCAGAGAAGATTTGATAAGAAAATGGCCAGGAGTTACAGCTGTCAGTTTCGAAGGTTTTGAGGTTGCTATTGCTTCTTTTTGTTCTTGGTTGGAGTGATTTCTGTTATCAGCCATAGGCTTAGTAGGCTTCAAAAAATGTAGGAGTGTGTGATGACGTTTCAAACAGGTCTTACAAGTATTAGTAGACTTGCAGCGTTTAGCAAAGTGATTACCAAGGCAATTTGTGCAGCTTTTTAAGTCGCGTACAACTTTAAGCCTTTCTTGCGGGGTTTTACTGTTAAAGACAGGGCAACTGTATATTTTGTGATTTTTATGGCAGCAAAAACATTTCAAATCATTTGAAGTACATATCAAAGCCATATGAGGATGTTGAAACTGAATTGATTCATCAATTTGACGTGTAACTTGGTAAGGGTTGGATATTTGGAGAGGAGCTACTTGTGGAGCGTGACAGAGAGAGGCATCTTCACTATTGTTACAAAAGTCTTTAAAGAATTTGATTATTTCACTAGCTTTAGGAAAATCAGAAGAATTTATGCGTTTTGATTCAAAAACTTGACAGAGGTTGGAATTCATTTTTCGTAAGATCAACCTACTTAGTAGGTAGTTGTCTTCCATGACATTATAGTCAAGAACACTAAGAGCTTGTTCATTTTCATTAAACTCATTTAAAAATGATCTAAGGTTTTTGATAGATTTGTCAGTAATATTGGGCAAATCGACAATTTTACTGAGGTGGACAGAGATTAGCCTACGCTTCGAGTGATACCTTTCCCGTAAAGCATTATAGGCTACTGTATAGTTGCCAGACGAGATCGGCAAGGATTTGATTAAATGTAAGGCTTCGCCTTCAAGTGAACTTATCAAGTACTGGTGTTTTTCAACAAGGGATAAGCTACTATTGTTGTGGATAGTAGTGTCAAAGAGGTTAATATAGGAAATCCATGTTTTAGTGTCACCATTGAAGGACTTCAGTTCTAGCTTAGGCAATTTTACTATGCTAGTAGTAGGCCTAGAGGTAGGGTTTGATGTTACCGAGTTAATTGACAAGTGTTCATCATTAAAGTTCTGAATTAGAAGAGAAATTTCGGTTTGAATGTTAATTGATAGTTCTGTTATGTCGTTCTGGAGCTTTAAAATAGCTTCTTCATTGTCAGAAAACACGTTAGTATCGTCATCAACATCAGAAGCTTATCAAGGTTAGCTTCAAAATTGGCAGAAATTGTTTTAGCTTCTTGCAAATAAAGGTTAAGTTTAGCGGTTTGAGCTTCTGTTATTTCTGATGGACACGATTGGATATACTCACTGATCGAATTTAATTTATTTAATTGCAATTTGCATTTATTAGAAAATGTTGAAAATCTCATTTTGAAAGTTAGGCCTAGATCGTTCGATGAGTTAACTTAAGTAAGTAGTCTAGTTATTGTAAATGGATGGAGTAATTTGAGGATAAGGACGACTGAGGAATAAAATCAGGGTTTCTTTATTATTTTCTTGTAGGTATTGATTTATTGTTAAAACTTACGATGAGATGCGATGAGTTGTCTTCATTGTCTTCGAAGAATTACAAACATAACCTTAATTTTGACATGACGTTTGAAGCTGAAGTTGTAGACGAAATGTCGAAGTGATGAATGCGGAGCGGAACTAGCAGAACGATGACGATGTTGAACACTTGGAATGAGAGGAGTGTGGACTGTATCGTGACGTAGATGAAAAGTTCAAAATGGCGATGCGGTATTGTCCTTGGCGGCTTCACGTTGGATGAAATACGTTCAACCGAGACATTTAAATTAACTTGAAAAAATTCGCACTAATTTTCGTAGATATAATCCGCGGCTCGATAGGACCAAAAATCCGGCTCGAAGGACCAAAAATGTGCGGTGTTATTAATAATAAAGAGTAAAAGGTCGAGGGTTTTGGTATAAAAGATTTAATTTATGAGAGAAATAATGAGAACATGTTGTTATGAGAGGTGATTCGCGATGAAAATGCAACAATGAAAATTGACATATGGTAATGTGATGAGAATTACAGATGGACTGTTAAAAACAAAGACATATAAAATTAATAAAAAAAACAAAGACACTTGACTGAACAGTTAGATTTGTAAATTTTACTATTACGAATAATGTATTTGAAAACGCATAGCTACAAATAATATTGTTCGTACATAATACACCAGAACTTAATATACACCAGATAATACACCAGAATTTTAAAAAGAAATATATTGAAATTAGTTTTACCTAGTCTAATATTTATTATTGACTTGCTGATAATCTAAACATTTTTGTTCTAATGATGATTTTAAGTTAAATGTAAATGATAATACTTTTTAGTTTCTGAAATAAGTTTTTATTTTGATTTTGATTTGCAGATGCAGAGGGATACAGTTTCTCTGCTGATACTGCCTCTGGTTATCTGGACTGTTTCTGCAGAAAGTGTATTTGATGGCCTAAATGTGTGCGACAACGGAATAATAAACGAAATTAATAACGCGGAAAAAGTAAAAGCAGTGGAACATAAACTTCCACTTGATTTAGCATCTCAGGTTGTGATTAGCTTATAAATATAATACATCTTCGTTAGTATTGTTATAACAAATTATTATGATAATGAAACCGGATGTGTTTAAACATAATTATGAACGAAATGAGATTTCTTGTACAGTCATTATTTTACTGACCTAATCAGCTGTTTCTTCGACAAGTAATAGTAGTTTACGCAACAATTACGTAAAGATAGTGCTAACGACACGAGTAGAAAATTTAAGGTCGAGCCTTGGCGAGTGCTTTAAAAACTTCTACGAGAGTCGTTAACACTATTTACGCGAGTTACGTACACTACTTTACCTACGACGGTGTTTTAATTACTAAAAATCACTACTCATAACTTCTAAGAGAGGTTATGTTTTTGTTTATAACCTCTAATTGCTGTTTAACATTGATGCAACGAAACATTGTATCAAATACTAATTGCACCAATCAACAATTAAATTGGCCTGAACAGCTGATTAGTTGAATATCTAATAATTACAATTTTGCTTCTCCTTTCTCAATCCTTGAACCTCATTGGTCCGTTATCCGTGTTGTTATGAGTAAAACTATGCTGTTATGAATGTAAACAATGCTGTTATGAGATACTTTTCATTCTAAGAACTGTACTGAAACGGCTACTTTAAGAAAAACGGTCGTAGGTAAAATTTAGTAATAGCCATAGACCAGCTGGTGTCAACATAAAAAAATTACCAAATACTTTTAAGAATAAACCATACATTGAACATCCTAGGACCTTGAATTGTTCTACCATATGTAACTATTATTTTTTGTCACTTATAAATCTTCATGAATATGATTTGAAAATATTATCGAATAGAATTTCATTATTCAAAAATAAAAGAAATATGGCCAATAATTTTAAAGAGTATTTCCTTTTGACTCCAAAAACCTTTTTATTTTTTGAGATACAATGGTGTTCTCAAATGTGAAATGTAAATAAAAGGACTTTTATTACAATAACATTCATTTTGCAAGAGATATAGCCTAGGATAGATGTGTTTTGTCTAAATGTCTATTTTAATAGTGTTTTTTTTTATGTAGCTGAGAACCCTGGCTCCATATGATGTACTATATGCTAACTACAAGGATGATAAAATAACAAAAACTAGGTGGCTTTCTACAAAATTTGAGTTTACACGTAAATACACAGTACAAGGCAGAAAGATAAAGTAAGTGTTATACTGAATCATTAAGATATGTTATTGCTTTAAAGTTAAACTGATTTTTTTCGATGTTCTCGTTATACAAGAATAATAATTGATCCTGGCCGTTTTGTTTATTGATACAACTTTTATTTAGCAGATACCAGTTTTTAAAACACACTAAAAATACAATAAACTACACTAAAAATTGGTTAGTTTTTTTCTAAAAACGTATAACTAGTATATAGACAGAATATGACGCTGGTCTAAAGTCCCAAACGTAGGACTCGTTAAAAAGGTTAAACATCTGTACCACTACTACTACCAACTATAAAGACAAATAATACATTAGAAATACAATAAGATGTAGGTTAACAAAAGTAAAATACCTTAGGTGAAGAACACACACAAATTGGGAATAGGTTTTTTGAGTCAAAATAAACTGAAAATCGGGAATGATTTTTTTGACTACTTCCTCGTGAGTGAGGTATCCACCATTTTGGTATTTGTGTTTTAGATTGGTGTTATAAAACTATTTAAATTTTCCTTATAAAATTTGGTGTGCCATTTTAACAAGTCAAAAAGTAGTTCAGAAAAAATAAAAGATGAGAAAGATTTTACCAAGTAAGTTTTTATAACTGAAAAACATTATTAGGCTATTTAATGAACAAATTACCGTTTTTAAAATTCCCTATCAAAAGAAAAAAAAAAGAAAAAAAATTCAAATTTAAAATAGCTGAAAATTTTGTGTTTAAATATTGCGATATCTCAGCTAATTATTATTCAATCTTTTCTAAATTATTGTCGTTTGATAGGTAATTGTAAATGCCGAATCAAAATGTTCTTCAAATTCGTTCATAAAATCAGCCATCTCCATTGTAGTTTAGGTTATAAAAATTTAACTCCTACCATTTTGAAACCAAAAAATCTTGTTTCATGATTATTTCTTTTTAATACTTTTGACTAGATAAAATAATAAATGAAATTTAAGAGATATCTTACATAGTTTTTATAATATCAGTTTAAAACCTACGAATAGAATAATTGCCGATATCTCGATAACGAAGCATTTATGGGAAAATGTTATTCGTGATTTTCGTTTTATTTTTACCCACTACACCTATTCCAAAATTTTGCTCTATTAACTATAGTATTGTAATACTACAGTACACTAGTAGTACAACCAAATACGAATCCAAGAGTTATATAGTTTATATAACTGTTTTCTAATACGTTCAACTCTTCCGATTCACAGGGAAACCAAAACGATGGACATCGACTGGGATAAACTTTTGAGTGAAGGTAAGAGCAAAAATTTACGTTTGAATTAATACTTCTCTCAAAAACTATAACGTTTAGCTCATAATTAGTGATCTGGTCCATATAACGTAAGGTTAATTAATAATCATTTTTACAAGATTGTTTTTATCTCGCTTAAAGATTTTGGCATTAAGTCTATTCAAGAGTTTTAAAGTTAAAGAGTTTAAATTTTTAAAGTTCAAAGTTTTACGACAAGAAATTTTGAGGGCGTATATAAGAAACGATGGAAGTTAATTAACTGTTATTTTTCATTTTACAGGCGACAATAATCTGAAAATGTACGTTTGGAGTTTTAAAACAGATTTCAATGTTGCTCGATTTGTTGAAAGTATTGTTGGATACTACTTATGTAAGACAGTGGGTAAGTTATTAAACTAAATTACTGGTTTACATTTTTTAACTAGATCATTGAGCTCTTTAAGTTCCTGGTGTTTTAAAATTACAACCAACATCTTAGAACATGGACAAATTATTATGTTTTGTAAAGATCACGAACAAGTATTATCACGCAAATTTCTATAAGAATCGTATTTGAGATCATTGCATACAAGAAGTAGACTGGAGGTAGAAAAAATCTGCCAAAATATGTACAGACTTTTATATTTTCACTTTACGCTGTAAATAAAACATGTGATTTGAGTTTCTTCCATTTGTTTTGACTTTCTGTTTCAAATTTGTTGTAATTGTTGTCACCAGCATAGCAACCTATATGGTCCATGTTAGTTTTTTAAAATTTAAAATTAATTTTCTTCTTATTTCAATTTATACTGCATATCTAAAGAAAATCATCTATCTAACAGTATAAGTAGATTTGACCTGCGATAACAGGAGCTGAGAAAAAAGGTTTTGAATAAACATGCTTGCCTTTTAACTAGGATTATGTATGTAATTAATTATATATTAAGGAATTAAATAGAAAATTTTAAAACTATTATAAAACATACATTGATGTTTCTTTGACGCATTTCAGGGACTAATAACGAAGAAGGTCCTCATATTGGAATCGCATTTTCATACTATGCGGACGGGGGAGGCGGGATACCGCATCAACTATTAGAAGACGCAGAAAAAATGCGTGACGCTGCAGTTGGTCTGTTTAAACAAGCTTTGGAGCACTACACTGACTAACTTATCTCAGCATTAAGTTGAATACATATAATTGTGTGAATACAATATGCTCATTCATTTCTCCAAAGACATATTTCATTTTTCTATTCATCCTATAGAAAATTGACTCCAAATAATGTGAATAAAATGGTTGTATTGCTAGTATTGGTGAGTAACTTGCAGTTTGGTATAACAAATTTTAAGGGTTTATACATTTTTTCCTGAAAACTATTTCCCTAACTTAAATACTGGCACAGACACTAAATAAAAAGTGTTTCATGTTCTTACAGTATCAGTATACTGCAACATTATATACCTATCAAAATGAAGTTTGAGATAGGCCTATTGTCCAGTCGGTAGAACTTGAGGACAAACTAAGCTCCTTATCTGAACATAATCCTTCGCCTGAAGGTCTTATACAAAATATCTTAAGATAATAATTGATGGTATAACTTGAGTCAACCTCATATACAACGTTTACTAATAGGGGTTCAACACTGACAAATGAATACAAAAATTTCCTGAGGTATAATAACTCATCGTTTAATAATATAAAACTATAATTAGTTTAAAACAGACCACTTTTACAAATCATCAGTTAATGTCTGAGGAGACAGTCATTTTTTTAGATGTTCATATAAACGAAAAGCTTGACTGGCTTCCTCACATTGACAAACTACGGAAAAACTTTCTTCAGCAATATTTTCTCTCAAAACAATTTCTCAAGTTACAGATACTAAAACTCTATCAACAGTTTATCATTCATATTTTTCATCTGTAATACCTTACTTACGGAATACTTGTCTGGGGAAATTCTTGCCATGGTAAGAAGAAATTTAGGCTTCAAAAGAAGGCACTTAGAATCATATCTAAAGTACCCCGAATAAGTCCATGCAAAATCATCTTTCAGGCTTTTAGTGTTTTGACATTTTATGACCTGTATATTTTAGAAGCATTATTCTGGGTATTCAACAATTTGTCCATTTTCAGGGAGGGTCACACAAACCATAGGTAGAACACTAGACATATAACCTAACTAGTAGTACGCTTATTCTGCGCGTAACGGGATGAGTGAACATGAGCGCAGTAATGAAAGAGTCCACCCACACCTAGCCTACTTACCGGTGTCACTGGTGAACACAGTGTTATTTGTATGGGCATATCAACCAAATCTTAGTCAACAACAATCCTAACTTCTCATCCATTAATTAACCAAAGTCATTGGTAATATACGGAATGGATTTCCAACAGTTATCGATAGGAGGTAAATCCATCGTTCCTGTACAATATGTCTTTTGATTAAATGAAGCCTATTTCCATATTTGTTATGAGGCCTATCATAAACAAAACTAAGCCAAACTGAACTAATCTAACTTAACCTAACTGCCAAAGCACGATGTAAGGAATCTCCTAAAAATATCGTATGGCTTACAATGATGATTTAAAACAACGATATCGTAATTATATCATCTAAAAATGATTAAAAATCCAATATATGTTAATCTAACTAATGAAAAGGGTCCCCACACTCCGGACTGCTCGCCTTGACTACTTCCATCACCACTTCCTACGTCGTGGATATGTTTCCCTCACTTCCCATAGCATTTTAGTATTGCAGGTACATTAACCTAACTGTCACAAAGGGTCCCCACACTCCGAACTGCTCGCCTTGACTACTTCCATCACCACTTCCTACGTCGTGGACATGTTTACCTCTCTTCCTATGGCATTTTAGTATTGCAGGTACATTAACCTAACTGTCACAAAGGGTCCCCACACTCCGGACTGCTCGCCTTGACCACTTCCATCGCCACTTCCTACGTTGTGGACATGTTTCCCTCCCTTCCTATGGCATTTTAGTATTCCTGGTACATTAACCTAAATGTCACAAAGGGTCCCCATACTCCGGACTGCTCGCCTTGACTAATTCCTTCACCACTTCCTACGTCGTGGACCTGTTTCCCTCCCTTCCTATGGCATTTTAGTATTCCTGGTACATTAACCTAAATGTCACAAAGGGTCCCCATACTCCGGACTGCTCGCCTTGACTAATTCCTTCACCACTTCCTACGTCGTGGACCTGTTTCCCTCCCTTCCTAAAGCATTTTATTATTGCAGATACATTAATCAATACTGTCACAACGGGTTCCCACACTCCGGACTGCTCGCCTTGACTAATTCCTTCACCACTTCCTACGTCGTGGACCTGTTTCCCTCCCTTCCTAAAGCATTTTATTATTGCAGATACATTAATCAATTCTGTCACAAAGGGTTCCCACACTCTGGACTGCTCGCCTTGACTACTTACATCGCCACTTTCTACGTCGTGGACCTGTTTCCCTCCCTTCCTTTAGCATTTTTTTATTACAGATCCATTAATCTAACTGTCACAACGGGTTCCCACACTCCAGACTGCTCGCCTTGACTACTTCCTTCACCACTTCCTACGTCGTGGACCTGTTTTCCTCCCTTCCTTTAGCATTTTATTATTGCAGATACATTAATCTTACTGTCACAAAGGGTTCCCACACTCCGGACTGCTCGCCTTGACTACTTCCATCACCACTTCCTACGTCGTGGACATGTTTCTCTCCCTTCTTATGGCATTTTAGTATTGCAGGTACATTAACCTAACTGTCACAAAGGGTCCCCACACTCCGGACTGCTCGCCTTGACTACTTCCATCACCACTTCCTACGTCGTGGACATGTTTACCTCCCTTCCTATAGCATTTTTAGAATTGCAGATACATTAATCCAACTGTCACAAAGGCTTTCCACACTCCGGAGCGCTCGCCTTGACTACTTCCTTCACTACTTCCTACATCGTAGACCTGTTTCCCTCTCTTTCCATAGCATATAAGTATTACAGATATATTAATTTAACAGTCACAAAGAATTTCCACACTCCGCACTGCTCACCTTTCCGCTTCCTTTACCACTCTCTACGTCGTGGACCTGTTCCCCCCCCCTTCGCATAGAATTTTAATATTACTAACATCTTTGAATATTTAATATTCAATGCCAACATTAAATTGAATAATGTAAAAAGCAGCTTTGTTCTAAATATATACATTTATATTTTTAATTTAAAAGTGAATTTTAATACTGAACATAAACGGTATATAACTGCCGATTAATATTGTAAAGTTCAATTTATTATTCAGAAAGTTGTTAAATTTAATTAACTTAAACAACATTATTCTGAAACCTGTGAAATTATAATGATATATATTCATAGACGCCAAACTGTTTACTCCATGAATGAAATAGCTTAGAGTAAAAGTTGTTCTCTCTGTCTTAAGTAGACGACAAAATTGTTGGTCGCAAAACGTAAACAAATAAGAAGAAGAAGAAGGTAGCTCCTAATGTTATTCTTATGGGACAAATTTAAAAATGTTTTTAAGGTTTTTATAATTACTACTTAACGGAATCGTCTAGAATTTTAATGAGGTCTTCCCACTGGTGTCATAATTATTTGTGCAAAATTTGAACGCTATAAGTGCGACGGTTCTTGAGTTTTTGGTGCGAACACACGGACTCACAGACAACTTTTCTCCGACTCCGCTATACACGATACATAGATTCGTTCACTTCGTTCACTCATCTATTAAGCCCACTAGCCATAGATTATCGCTATTTGAAGCATCACCTCAATATATTGGACCAAAATTGTATAACTTGATTCCTGATCATTTAAAAAACATCGCAAATCCAAAAAAGTTCAAACAAAAATGTAAAGAATGGTTACTGACAAAAACATTTTATTCTTTAAATTAATTTTTAAGTGGAAATTGGGAGGGTTAAGTGTTGAAATTATTTTTTTAGATTTCTTACTATTTAGATTGAAATCTTCCACGTCACCACCTGAATCTCAAGCTTAAGGGCAACTGGTGCAATACCAAAATGGCTTCTGAAGTATCAACATACTGTATTTTATTTTATCATGGAAACGCTAAGTATTTAATAGTTAATAGTTTACAGACTTTAATTCAGAGCCATTGAAATAACAAATTTAAACTATATCAAAAGAAAGAGGAAACATTGATTACTACTGGTGAATGACTGAATTTTAAATTATCATTTAAATAATTAGTGGTGAGGATATATCTATCAAAGTAAGACTTAGACGAGAGAAACACTCTAACAAAATATCTATGAAAAAAACGAAAATCTACGAAAATCTATGAAATAATCTATTATTTGAAGAGTTGAAATAAAATAAAACATAATTTTTAAAGGAAAGTGTTTACCAGAAAGGAGTTTAAAAAATAAAAATTAAAATAACAGATTGAAATAACATAACATATTTATTTTAACGTATTATGTAAGTGAGGATTTAACAGTCAAGTGTAAACCCTTTAGGTCTATTCTCATGCAAGTGACCAAATCGACAAATTGTATTCTCGAACGACAACAGTTTATTTCCCATGAGCTTAAGGCTGTGTTTGGTTGTAAATAAACTCACACACTGTTTTTACTTCTCTCAAGTTCAATCGATAGATTATATTTCATTTTAAGTTTTGGGCGCCTATGCAACAAACTAAACAGAAGAAAATGTCAAAACATCACGAGAAAAAATTATAACTTTGAGATTTGTTTTTTGACAACAGTATGTCCATTGTTATTTTTCGTCTAAAACTAAACACACCCCTCCTAAAATGTGTTTTAACACAGGAAAAATTAATATGGATTAATGTATGAAATAAATAATTAAAATTAAATGAAACACTAATTGATCAATAAGAATGAAGTTGGTAAGTATAGGAATTCAAAGATGTATTTTATCACATGCATTTAATTAAATTTATACGAACCATGATGCAGTCATAATACAGCTCAAGTTTGTGATTTTCATAAAAAAAATACATGTTTGACAAGTCTATGGATATAGTACATATATGTACTGGAATTCACATGGAAACTAAATTTCAAACATTTCTTGGCATAAAACCAATAATTTAATTTTAATGTATTCTTCTGTTTTGTGGTGAAAAGTGGTTTCACGGCACTTCTCTATTCAATAATCCAATATATTATGACTTATATTTGTATATAGTTCTTGGTTATTATATCGAGGTGATTGATGACGGCACATTTTAAAACTAGCGTCTTATCAACGTATGGGATCTCATTCAATGAATCATAAAGTACTTAAGTTGCATGAAAACTGGAGCATTAAAGATACCAATGAATCATCATTGAATGTTAAGATAAGCGTCTAACTGCACTTAAGGTCACTTAAATTCATTTTAATTATAATTTATATTATTTGAATATGCTTAGTGAACTATTCACACCAACATTTTTCAATATTTTACATTAGATGTGTTACATTTTTGTTCACTGCTATTAATAGCAGAGTATGTGGCGGTGGACTCATTATTTCACAATTTAATTTCTTACGTCATAACAGATGGTTGGCTAATAGAAGTGTAAAACGGTTTTTGATCGTTCGTTTATTTTCAACTGTACATGGATAGAAGAGACATCTACAGTAGAAAGTAAGTAAAACTCTTTAATAATTATAATAATTTTCTCTATAATTTTTAATTTATAGTAAGAAACGATGAATAATTATTATTCATCGTTTCTTACTATAAATTGAAAATTACTTTTTAGAATTAGGAGTTAAATAATTATAACTATAGGTTGGTTCTTTTTTTTGTCCAAAATAAGTAAGATTGGGTTTCAATTGATTTCAAAATGTGAATAGCTCAAACCACTACTAACACTTATCTACACAATAAAACGTACCCATTGTTTAGAAGTTTTAGTAAACTGAAGTCAAGCTAAGAAATAAAACATACTGTATTTAGAATACTATGTTTTGTGTATGGTGTATTATGTACCTGTATTGTGTATGTTGATAGTATATTCTTACATTTCCCTTAACGAAAATCAATTTAAGGTTAAGTATGGACAAATTTGATCACTTTGTAGGCCAACACATATACGTTATTTTATATGCAAGTATCAGGGATGTAATTATTTAAGTACAGTAATTATTATGATGTTTCGTAATGAAACAAAAAGTTTACCTTATTGTTAGTTAACTTAAAATTTGTTAACTTATAAAACTGTTTGGAAGAAACGTAAGAAACCAATTTTTGTGATAGAATGGGGTGGGGATTTTTTATATTTGTAAATATTACTATTACGAATAATGTATTTGAAAACGCATAGCTACAAATAATCTTGTTCGTACATAATACACCAGAACAAAAATACGTGTAATTAAAAAAAAAAAATATATTGAAATTAGCTTAACCTAGTCCAATATTTACTATTGACTTGCTGACAATCTAAACGTTTTTGTTTCACTAAAGAAGATTTCAAGTTAGATGCAAATAGTTTTAGTTTCTGAAATAATTTTTTATTCTGATTTGTAGATGCAGAGAGACACAGTTTCTCTTCTGATTCTGCCTCTGGTTATCTGGGCTGTTTCTGCAGAAAGTGTATTTGATGGCCTAAATGTGTGTGATGAAAAAATAATAGGAAAAATTAATGAAGCGGAAAAAGAAAAAAAAACGGAAGATAAACTTCCACTTGACTTAGCATCTCAGGTTGTGATTAGCTTATAAATATAATACATCTTCCTTAGTATTGTTATAACACATTATTATGATAATGAAACCGGGTGTTTTTAAACCCAATTATGAATGAAATAAGATTTCTTGTGCTACTTTTTTGACTAAATAAGCTTCAATAGGGGAAATTTAGTAATAGCCATAGAACAGCTGGTTTCAACATTAAAAAACTACCAAATACTTTTAAGACTAAACCATACATTTTTCATCCTAGAACCTTGAACTGTTCTACCATGATAAGTAACTATAATTTTTTATATTTTTTATCTATTTAGTCACTTACATTTTAGTCATCTTCATGAATATAATTTGAAAATTGTATCAAATAGAATGTCTCTTTATAAAAAAAAAGAAATATCGTCAATAATTTTAAAGATAATTTTCTTTTGACTCCGAAAAACGTTTTAATCTTTTGAGATTAAATAGGGTTTCTCGATTGTGAAATGTAAATAAAAGGAATTATATTACAATACCATTCATTTTGCATGAGATTTAGGATAGATGTGTTATATCTAGGGGCCTATATGTCTGTTTTAATAGTGTTTTTATTTATGTAGCTGAAAAAACGGGCTCCATATGATGTTAGATATGCTAACTACAAGGATGACAAAATCACAAAAACTAGGTGGCTTTCCACCAAGTTTGAGTTTACACGTAAAGACACAGTAGAAGGCATAGAGTAAGTGTCATAATGAATGTTTAAGACTAACTATTGCTAGAATGCTAACACGAATTTTGATTGATGTTCTCGTTATACAAGAATAATAATTAATCTTGGACGTTGTGTTTATTGCTATGCCTTTTATTTAGAAGATACTAATGTTTGATTGTACACTAAATATTGGTTGGTTTTATCTTAAAATGTATAACTATAGACAGAATGTAACGCTAGTGTTTATACGTTAAAAATGTTAAACGTGTACCACTACCAGTAGGCCTACCAACTATGAAGACAATTAATACATTGGAAATACTATAAGATGTAGGTGAACTAAAGTAAAATATCTACGGTCAAGTACCCTATATACAGTAAACACAAAGGTAATTGGGAATACTTTTAATGAGTCAAAATAACACGAAAATCGAGAATATGTTTTCGACGACTGTCTCGTGAGTGAGGTATCCACCATTTTGGGTTTTGTGTTTTAGATTGATGTTATAAAACTATTTAACTTATCCTTATGAAATTTGGTGGACCTTTTTATCAATTCAAAAAGTATTTAGCAATAAATAAACACTAAGAATTTTTTTTTCAAAATGGAGGCTAAAAATTGTGATTTCCCAGCTATTTACCATTCAATCTTTACAAACTTGTCGTTTGATGGAAACTGTAAATGATAAATATAAATGTTCTTAAAATTTGTTCAGCCATTTCATTGTTATTTAATTAGTTTGCTTCCATTTTGCAACCTAAAAACCTGTGATTATTTCTTAAATATTTAACTTATTATAATTATATACCAAACGTTAGATATATCTTAAATAGTTTTTAACTTATCATTATAAAACCAAAAACAGATTTTTAGATATCTTGAAAACAAAGTGTTTTTTACAGGAAAATGTTATTAGTAGTTTTCGTTTTTTACCCAATAAACATATTCAAATTTTTTTCGTATTTAAATTCGGGTCAACTTGAATAGTTTTATCTAGGTTGACACCAAAGTTAACTCGGAACTGTAAAACTTTGGATCGTAACTTTCATTGTGTGGCTGTTGCCAAATACCAGAATACAATAGTAGTACAATACAATACAATAGTATTGTAATTCTACAATACACTAGTAGTACAACCAAATACATATACAAGAATTGTATTGTTTATATAACTGTTTTCTAATACGTTCACCTCTTCCGATTCACAGGGAAACCAAAACGATGGACATCGACTGGGATAAACTTTTGAGTGAAGAAGGTAAGAGCAAAAATTTACGTTTGAATTAATACTTCTCTCAAAAACTACAACGTTTAGCTCATAATTAGTAATCTGGTCCATATAACTTAAGGTTGATTATTAATCATTTTTACAAGATTGTATTTATCTCGCTTAAAGATTTTGGCATTAAGTCTATTCAAGAGTTTTAAAGTTAAAGAGTTTAAAGTTTTAAAGTTCAAAGTTTTACGAAAAGAAATTTGAGGGCGTATTTAACAAACGACGAAAGTGAAATTAACTATCGGTTTTAATTTTACAGGTGACAATAATCTGAAAATGTTCGTCTGGAGTTTTAAAATAGATTTCGATATTATTGGATATGTTGGATACTACTTATGTAAGACAGTGGGTAAGTTTTTAAACTTAAATTACTGGTTTAATTTTTTTAACTAGATCATTGAGTTCTTGAAGTTCCTGGTGTTTTAAAATTACAACCAATATCATATAGAACACGTCACGAACAAGTATTATCACGCAAATTACTATAAGAATGGTATTTGAATTCATTGCATACTAGAAGTCGTCTAGTGGTAGAAACAACTACCAGAATATGTAATGTACATAATTTTATACTTTCACCACACGCTGTAAGTAAAACATGTGATTGAAGTTTCTTCCATTTGTTTTGACTTTCTCTTTAAACTTCGTTGTAATTTCGGTGTCACCAGCATGGCAGCCTGTAAGGCCCATGTTAGTAAAAAAAAAAATGCTTGTGCTTTTTTATTCTATTCTAATTTATAAAGGGATTCTGCTCATATACAAGGAAAATATCTTACTAAAAGTATAAGTAGATTTTCCCTGCTACGCACACGAGTTGAGATAAAAGGTTTTGAAGAAACATGCTTTCCTTTTAACTAGGAGTATGGATGTAATTAATTATATATTAATGAAGTAAATAGAAAATTTTTAAAACTATTATAAAACATATATTGATGTTTGTTTAATACATTTTAGGGACTAATAACGAAGAAGGGACTAATAACGAAGAAGGGACTAATAACGAAGAAGGGACTAATAACGAAGAAGGGACTAATAACGAAAAAGGGACTAATAACGAAAAAGGGACTAATAACGAAAAAGGGACTAATAACGAAAAAGGGACTAATAACGAAAAAGGGACTAATAACGAAAAAGGCCCTCATATGGGACCTCATATCGGAATCGCATTTTCATATCATTTTCCGCGTGTCTGGATACCTTTTGAAATATTAGTCGGATCAAGAAAGATGAGTCTAACTGCAGTTGATCTGTTTAAAATACAAGATTTGGAGGTATACGACTAACTTATCTCAGCATTAAGTTGAATACATATAATTGTGTGAATACAATATGCTCATTATTTCCCTAAAGACATATTTAATTTTTCTATTCACTCTATAGAAAATTGACACCAAATAATGTGAATAAAATGGTTGTATTGCTAGTATATTGGTGAGTAACTTGGAGTTTGGTATAAAAAATTTTAAGGGTTTATACTATTTCCCCTCAAAACTATTTATGATTCCCTAACTTAAATACTGGCACAGACACTAAATAATGTTTCATGTTCTTACAGTATCAGTATACTGCAACATTATATACCTATCACAATGAAGTTTGAGATAGGCCTATTGTCCAGTCGGTAGAACTTGAGGACAAACTAAACTCTTTATCTGAACATAATCCTTCGCCTAACGGTCTCATACACAATATCTTAAGATAATAATTGATGGTATAACTTGAGTCAACCTCATATACAACGTTTACTAATATAATAGCTTACAATATTTGTAGTGATATTCAACACTGACAAATGAATATAAACTTGTCCTGAGGGATAGTAACTCATCGTTTAATATTACTGGTATCTTTGGTCATACCGAATAAGAATTACATAAATAAAGGGAGGATAAATGAGGATGTAACTTAAATAATGGAAATTCATGTTTTATAGGTTTATTTTGATATTTTAAACTCTAAGACACAAGTTCAAGTTGCTGTTCAACGGGAAGCCGAAGCTGTTAATTATGTTATCACTTTTCGCCTGTTATATTTAGGAGACACCATGGCTACCATATTTGTAGAAAAGAAACTCTAAATGTAAACAAGTACTCTTTGCAGCTTTGATTTTTGACTAGAGATGAGTAGAGTGGCTCAGTCATTAAAATCTTCCACATCACCACCTGAATCTCAAGCTTAAGGGCAACAGTTGCGATACCAAAATGGCTTCTGAAGCATCAAAATACTGTTTTTAATTTTACCATGGAAACGCTAAATATTCAATATTTTACAGACATTAATTTAGAGCCATAGAAGTATAAAAAAATTAAACTATATCAAAAGAAAGAGGAAACATTAAATTACTACTAGTGATAGACTGAATTTCAAATTATTAGTGCTGAAGATACTTTTATCAAAGTAAAATGTAAAAGAGAGAAACACTCTAATAAAATATCTTTCTGCAAAAATATATTTAATAATATGTTATTTGAAGAGTTGAAATAAAATAAAACTTAATTTTTTAGGGATATTTTTTACTAGTAAGGAGTTTTTAAAAGTTAAAATTAAAATGAAAAATTGAAATGACATACTTATGTTTATTTTAACGTATTATGTAAGAGAGTCAAGTGTAAAACCTTTAGGTCTATTCTGATGCAAGTGACCAAATTGACAAATTGTATTCTCGAACGACAACAGTTTATTTCCCAAGAGCTTAGGCTGTGTTTGGTTATAAATAAACTCACACACTGTTAGTGTTTTACTCTCTTAGTGCAATCGATAGATTTTAATTCAACTTACGTTTTGGGCGTCTATTGCAATAAAATAAACAGAAGGAAATGTCAAAACAACACGAGAGAAATTTATAACTTTGCGATTTATTATTTGACAACAATATATCCATTGTTATTTCTCGTCTAAAACTAAACACACCCCTCCGAAAATGTGTTTTAACACAGGAAAAAATAATATGGAATAATGTATGAAATAAATAATTAAGTATGAAGTTAAATGAAACACTGAATGTAGTATTATTGGTCAATAGGAAGTTGGTAAGTATAGGAATTCAAAGATGAGTTTTATCACATGCATTTATTTAAATTTAATCGTTCCATGATGCAGTCATAATACAGCCCAAGTTTGGGATATTCATAAAACATTGTTTAAGAAGTTATTTGAAACGTATGGAATCAAAATAAATTGCAAAAGAACTGAGGAGACGATACTTAGTTTACAATATACGTGAAATTTGAGAAAGTAACAATTTTGATATTCAAAGACATAAACCTTACCCGCTTTAGTGATCCGTTAGTAACAAGTAAGTGGTTTATTGAAACTCGATACATGTTCAGGACATATTTCAAAGTTATCGTGTGGAAGGTTCAGCAGTCTGTCGTGCATTTACATATCTGTTACAGCTGAGCGGTCCATGAGATAAGCGTGGGATGGCGTTATTTTGCTAACTTTGACAGGTTATTTTGATAGAATTAATATTGATCGGCTCATATAAGCTTCCGAAGGTCACAGAGGTATGAACCGACAATGGAAAACAAAAATACTTTTAACAATGTAAAATTTAGCAATTTTAATAATTTGACTTGTAAAGTTTTAAATTTTTTATATATTTGGTGACACCAAAATACGTTTTGAAATATTTCTCACCCAATTCTTTTTATTTGGCTGTGTAAAACCTTTTTGCTTACCTTGTATTTAAAAATGTAAAGAAATTAGAGTATTATCAAAGAGTTAGACAGCATATTTTACCGTTGAATTTATCTGTTCAGACATAGTACAGGTAAAACTCACCTAAGAAAACATAAAAGTTAGTCCATTAATGAAACTTGCAGGAAACGTATTATAGGTGATTTATATTAATTAACTGGATTATTTTACCTTAATTAATTTGTCATATTTAGTTTTCATTAATAAATTAGTCTTTTTCTGATAAACTGTCGGTTTTATTGCTTTTATTATTTTCTTTTTCGATTCTGCATCCTAAGAAACATAGAAAATGACACCCCACTTGCTTGGATCCCATAAATAAAAAATTTCTCAAAATCACTACCCCCATAAACTTAAAACCCCATAAAATGCTTCTACCCCCACAATCACTAGGGACTCTTTAGATTCCAATACCTAATGGTAATTACTACGTTTCCTGAAAGTTTCATGAATGGACTATTTTTTATGTTTTCTACTGGGTTTTTAGTATAATTTTACCTGTACTAACAGGTTTGTGTTGTAAGCTGTGTATTTAAGAAGTTTGAGAGGTGAGGTATTCTAGTAAAAGAATGAAGCACACTGAAGGAGCAGCACTGGGACGTCAACCAGGGGGAACCCCCTTGGGAAAAATCAAAATTGTAATATTCCTATCCAACATTTTGCATTGGCTCAAATCTTGCTAGTTGTGAAAAGCTTTACCTAGATATTAATACTATGAACTAAAATAATTTATTGGCAAGTACCTAGTACTATCAATTAAACGGGGATAGAATAGAATAGAATAGACAAATTCTTTATTGCTCAATGTACATAATATACAGTTATTGTAGACAATCACAATAGTTGAACACAATTCTGAATATAAAATTTATTCAAATATGCATATGAACTTAAACACATTTTTTTAAACCTTACATGGGATATAATAAAGAAAATCATAGACCAATAAAGCCCTGAGGTTATAAACCTGTGCGGGATCTTTTTTTGAATCTTACACAAACTCAGTAGTAGGGTAGAGAGTGCCTGGCCGGATCAGTACCACAGTTATACTACACAATATTTAAAAATAACATAAACGTGGCTTCTTCACATGAAACAATATTAACTTCCTTAATTCTTAAGTCTTATTAAAGTATAAGGCATTGTTTAACCAACTATAACTAAGACTATAACTATGAAGGAAAACACTATGCCCTTTATATTAGAGTAGTAAAAAATTGATTAATGTCATTATGGTTAAGTAAGTAGTTACGTATCATTTTATTGAATTGGTTCTTGTTTTTACACTCTTTAATATAGTTTGGAAGTAGATTATAAAACTTTGGTGCTAAGTACAAAAAATATTTTTTGAAATGGGATAAATTGCGTCGCGGAACATACATTTTACCCACGTTCCTTAATGTGATATTGCTCTGGTTTGTGGTTTGTATATTCTGTTTGTATCACATCTATTAAAAAATTCTTAAAACCTTAAAAACGTATAAGTTTCTAAAGGGCAAAATGTTTAAACTTTGGATAGTATTACAACAATACAAAAACTGCATACATATACAGGGTGTCCCAGAACTCCCTACCAATATTTTAGGACATTGCTCCTGGGTAAGAAACATACCTAAATATCATATTTAAATTGCCCGGAAGTCCTTAGTTACTCACACAGCCGCCATTTTGTTTTTTTGAGTTATTAATTGTTTTTCTAAAGAATGGTTAAACATACGAAATGAAAACTTTGCACAAACATTAATGACAACTAGACAAAGCTACAAACAAATTATGAAGATTTTTCAAATTCATAAAACAAAATGGCGACCATTTAAATTGTTGTTTCTAAAATAGCTCAAAAACCGTTGATTTTATAAAAATTTTAAATGGACGCCATTTTGTTTTATGAGTTTGAAAAATCGTCATAATTTGTTTGTAGCTTTGTCTAGTTGTCATTAATGTTTGTGCAAAGTTTCCATTTCGTATGTTTAACCATTCTTTAGAAAAAAAATTAATAACTCAAAAAAACAAAATTGCGGCTGTGTGAGTAACTAAGGACTTCCGGACAATTTAAATATGATATTTAGGTATGTTTCTTACCCAGGAGCAATGCCCTAAAATATTGATAGAGAGTTCCGGGATAGCCTGTATGCTATTGTTATTCATAGGAGGAATTTGTTAATAGAAGGATCTTAACCTATAAAGTTATAATTAATTTTATAGTTGGTTCATTCCAGTAAACATACGTTTTAATCAACATTAATTTCTTCAATGCAAGTTTAGGTTTTCCCATACTGAGTTTATATGAAAAGTTCATAGGCAGTTTACAGTATCAAAATAAATATTATAACGTAATCCTAAAATTTGAAGCAATTAAAAAGTAAAAATTTAACAATTTTATCATGGTAATTTTAAATACACGTTTAGAGTGAAAAATTATTTAACATGATTGATGTATCCATCTTTTTTAATTTGATGGTTATTTTATTTATTCGTATTTAGGTTACTTTGACCATTATGTATCTATCAAATGAATTTGCATTCGCTGTATTTTGGCTATTTTAAGTTATTTAATAGATTATAGTTCTAATAATATAATGTAGGTTAGCGACAGTTCATTTTTATGAACTGACATCCTTGGAAAAAC